AATAAAAATAAAGTGCGTAGTATATTTGGTTAAACAAAAGAAGATGGGAAAAGAGGAACGTAGGAACAAAAATCAAAGAGACAACTGAAAAACAAATAGCAATTTGGTTGACGTAAAATCAGTAAATACATTAAATACAAAAGAACTAACCACTCTAATTAAAAGGCTGAGATTGTCAGATGGGATAACAAAGCAAGACCCAACTACATGCAGTCTATAAGAGACAGACTTTATACAGAAAGACACAGAGAAGTGGAAAGCAACAGCATAGAAGGATACTACACAAGAGTAAGACAGGAAACCTAGTGTGACTATATTGCTTTAAGTAGATTTCAAGAGAAAAATTATTATGAGATATAAAGCGGGGCTTTTCAGAATTATAAAGGGATTAAATATTTAAAACTATATAAAACCCTTAAGGTGTATGTACCTGTATTAGTTTCCTAGGATTGCTGCGACAAAATACCACAAACCAGGGGTAAAAAAAAACCCCAAAAACCAAACACACCAAAAATGTATTCTCTCACAGTTCTGGTGGGTAGAAGTCTGAAACCAAGGTGCTGGAAGTGCCATGTTCCCTCTGGACTCCATATGACGGACCCCCTTCTTGTCCCCTCCGAGCTATATAAGATTGGCTAGCCATCTTTGGTATGGCCTGCAGTTACAGCATTTTAATCTCTGCCTTCATTGTCACATGATGTCCTCTCTGCATGTGTGTTTGTCTTCACATGGCATTTTCCTAAGTGATACTGAATTAGGGACTACCCTAATACCTCTTCTTAATTGATTGCATCTGCTAAGACTGTATTTCTGAATAGGTTACATTCAGATACTGGGGGTTAGGACTTAATCATATATCTTGGGGGGTGGGGAGTACAACAATTCAACCCATAAAACTACATAATAACAAAGAAGAAAGAAAGGGACACATACAAAGTTAATTATCATATTGAAGAAATTAGTATCTTCTGTCAGAAGCTGGTAGAACAACTAGACAACAAATTGACAAGGATAAAGAAATTCCAAACCTTAATGTACCCTTTGACATATATTCAACAATTTCAACACAGACCATTTTTTTCAAATGCACTAGGAGTGGTCACTAAGACTGAATACTGAGTCATAAAATAAGCCTCAACATATTTCAAAAAACAAGCATCTTAGAGAGTAAACTAAAATGGAATTAAACTAGACATCAATAACGGTAAGATATCCGGGAAACCTCCAGATATGTGGAAATTAAGCTATATCCTTACAAGCATCTAATGTATTAAAGAAGAAATTACAAAGGAAATTAGAAAATAACTGAAATGATAATGAAAACACACAAATCAAAACTTGTGGAATATAAGTAAAGCAGTGCTTAAATTTATAGTTTTAAATACCTATACCAGAAAAGAAGGAAGTTTAATAATAATCTATTATTCCAACTTCATAAGTTTGAAAAAGAGCAAATTAAACCAAAAGTAAATAGAAGGAAGTAACAAATAATAGAAGAAATCAATGAAAAAAGCAGACAAATGACAGAGAAGATTAAAGCCAAAAGCTGGCTCTTTGAAAAAAATTAATAAAATTAATAACCTATTAGGTGGATTAACCAGGAGAAAGAGAAAGAAAATGCAAATTACTTTCATCAAGGATGAAAAAGCCTTATTATTACAGATTCTACTGACAGTAAAAGAGTAACGCGTTGGAATCTCAAAAACAATAAAACAAACAAACAGAACAAAACAGAAACAGATTCATAGATACAGCAAACAAACTGATGGTTGCCAGATGGGAAGGGTTAGTGGGATGGGGAGAAAGGTGAAGAAGATAAAGAAACACAAATTGCCAGTTATAAAATTAGTCATAGGGGGGTAATGCACAGAAGGGAATACAGTCAATAGTATTATAATAACTATGGCTGGTGACAGACGTATTCTAGACTTACTGTGCTGATTGCTTCATAAGTTATATAAATATCTAAACACTGTGCCGTACACCTGGAACTAATATAACATGTATGTCAACTATAATTTAAAACTAAATTTTAAAAAATGATTACAGGAAACAAAAGGAATACCTCGGGTTGATGAAGTTTTCAGTTTTCACCAGGAAATTTATTAATGTCTTTTTTGGTTGTTAATTTTACAGATTTAATAACATGGTATTATAAAAGTTCATCTTGGAAAAAAAGAGCAAAAATGGTAGAGCAAGGACCTCTGAACATTTTGCCTCCATGAAAGAAACTAACAAAAAATGGTCAGAGCAGACTTTTTCAGAACCGTGGAAATTAGCAAAGAGCTGGCAACAATTCAGGGAATGCTTATTCGAAAACAGTGGCTGAGCAAACTCTGCGGTGTTTTCACTTGCTCTGTTTCCATCGCTGCAACCCCAGCTCCACGGCAGTCTTGAAAACCAATAATCTGCAAACAACTCTGATCTTTGGAAACACTGGTAAACTCATTTAAGGAAATCTCTGCCCAGTCATTGGCTAACTGATCACAAGGCTAATGGAGCAGAACCTCTAGTAGCCACATATGACAAAGAATACAGACTTCATGGAATTAAGTCAGAAAAGTCACTAAGCAAATAAGAATGACAAACAGCCACAACAAACCCTGGGGAGTGGGGATTGGGCATCCACAATGCCACATTATGTTATTTTAAATATCAGGTTTTGAACAAAAAATTATATATACAAAGAAACAAGAAGGAATGGCCCATATGAGGAAAAAAAATCAACAGAAATTATCCTTGAGGAAGTACAGGTATTGGACGTATAGACAAAAACTTTAACTTAGCTATCTTAAAAATGGTCAAAGAACCTTAGGAAATCATCTCTGAAGAAATAAAGGAAAATATGAGAATGATGTCTCTCTAAATAGAGAATATCAGTAAGGAGATAGACATTTTTTAAAATAAAGAACCAATGTAGATTCTGCAGTTGAAGCATACAATAACTAAAACAAAAAAATTCACTAGAGGGGCTCAACAGCAGATTTGAGTAGGCAGGAGAAAGAGTTGGTGAATCTGGCTAGAGATCAACTGAGATGATCCAGTCTGTGAAACGGAAAAGGAAAAGAATAAAGAAAAATGAACAGAGCCTCAGAGACCTGTGGGACACAAATGAGCATGTCCACATACACATAATGGGAGATCCTGAAGGAGAGGCGAGAGAGGGTGGGCAGGAGAAAGTATGTAAAGAAATAACACGGGAATAAAAGTAGTAAGAAGGCAGCAATAGAGACAGAGAAGAACAGAAAAGGTGTAAGACAAAAATATATAGCCAATAGCTGATGTAAATCCTACCTTATCAGTATTTTAATGTAATCAAATGCTCCCATCAAAAGGCAGAGATTTGTAGAATTTATAAAAAACATGATCTGACTGTCTATACATGCTGTCTGTAAGAGCCACACTTTAGATTCAAGGCCACAAACAGGTTGAAAGTAAAAGGATGAAAAAGATGTCATGCAAGCAGTAATCAACAAGAGACCACACTCAGGTAATAAAACACGCCTCCATAGATTTTAAAAGGTTGAAATAATAAAAGCATATGCTTTAACCACAAAGGAATGAATTCAGCCTACTAGGTCTTAGTAAACATCTACTTCATGGAATGTGAAAAACATGAAGGATGCCCCTCCTAGTCATTTTTACTGTCTAACCAGCCCTTCCAAACTTATCCTGGAAAAACAATTCCACAAACATTCTGGCATGAATCCCCAGCCCACCTCACCCCACAAAAGCTTGGTCATAAGGGATTTTGCAGTGTTTATTCCCCGGATGCCAATATCCATTGTCTTAGGCAAGTTCTTTAGTGTCTCCAAGCCTCAGTTTTCTCAGCTGTGACTACATAATTATACCTGCCTCAAACGTTTGTTATGAGAATTAAATGAGATACTATGTATAAATCTTAAGTCCTACTCACCTCATCTTCTTTCTTTCCCCTCCCTAGGCAAACAATGGACCCGGTACTGGTCCGTGGCCTGCTACGAACCATGGAAAAATTGTTTCCCACAAAACTGGTCCCCTGTGCCAAAAAGGTTGGGGACCACTGTTGTAGGGTGTATACCCTACACTAGACTAGAAGAGGTTGTAAGAATGGTAAGAGATAAGATGTGACTTATCTAGCGCACAGAAGGTGCCCTACAAGTGGTAGCTGTTACTTTTAGCAGTAGTCTACGACCTTTATCTTTTTTTCATTTTTGCAGCTCACCTTGTCCCCTGGGCAAACTCCAGCTAAACCCTCTCTAAAAACTGTCTTTCTCTTTGCTGCCCATCCTCTCTCTCCTCCTGTAACACCCACCCGAACAGAGCTAGAAGGATGGAGGTAAATCTGAATAAACAATTTTGAGAAAAATGTTTAAGTTGAAACACTATTTTTGTCTGAGTATATGTATGAGAGGGAAACCTTTGTTAAACTGGGATGTCTTCAAACTCCAGTGAAGTAGAACCGGAAAATAAAAAAAAAATAAAAAAAAAAGTGTTATATCGGTGGTATGGAGAGAAATCCCGCAGTTTAAGCATACGTGAGGGAAGAGTGCAGAAATGCAAAGCGCAGGACTAGGGAAGAGGAAGTAAGAATTAAAAATAGAAAACAACAACAACAAAAGGAAATGGGGCAGTCGTGTAATTGTTCCTACAGTTATTTTTTAAAGCCCTGTCTTGATAATGGCCCCTCGCTCGCCGAGCGCTGAAGACAGCGCGGGTCCAGAGCAGTTCCCGAGGAACAGAACGCGCAGCAGGCGCGTTTGTGCAGAAGCCCAACTAGCTCTCGGCTCTAGCTCCCGGGATCTGGGGCTCTCCCCGCGACGTGTCCGCTTCTTCATCCGCGGAGCGGCGGTAAGAACCCCGCGGTGGCCGTGGGAATAAACTGAAGTCGCGTGCCGCGCTAATCCCTGAGTCTGACCGCAGCGACCCGGGCTCCCCTGCGGCACCCCGCGCCCCGGCCCCGCCCCCGCGCCCCACGTGACTTCCTGAAAGGCCGCGGGGACTGCCCCGCTGCTGTTCAGTTTCGTTTCCTTGGCGGCCTCGGGGAGATCGTGCAGCGCTACAGGTCCGAGCGCCACCAGTTAGGTGCCCCGAGGAGCGCCATGGCGGAGCTGTCCTTGGCCGAAGAGCTGACGTGCTCCATCTGCCTGGAGCCCTTCAAGGTGCCGGTCACCACTCCGTGCGGCCACAACTTCTGTGGATCGTGCCTAGACGAGACGTGGGCCGTCCAGGGCCCGCCGTACCAGTGTCCGCAATGCCGCAGAGCGTTCCAGGTGCGGCCGCAGCTCCACAAGAACACGGTGTTGTGCGCCGTGGTGGAGCAGTTCTTGCAGGCCGAACTGGCCCGCGCAACAGTGCCCGACGGCTGGACGCCGCCCGACCGCGCCGAGGCCCCCAAGTCTCCCAGCCAGGTGGCCTGCGACCACTGCCTGAAAGCGGCGGCCGTCAAGACGTGCCTCGTGTGCATGGCCTCTTTCTGCCAGGAGCACCTACGGCCACACCTCGACAGCCCCGCCTTCAAGGACCACCCGCTGCAGTCTCCAGTCCACGACTTGTTGCATCGCAAGTGTCCCCAGCACAACCGGCTTCGCGACTTCTTCTGCCCTGAACACAGCGAGTGCATTTGCCATGTCTGCCTGGTGGAGCACAAGACCTGCTCGCCTGTGCCCTTGAGTCAGGCCAGCGCAGACCTGGAGGTAAGGGGTGGCTGCGGAAAGCGCAGAGGGGCAGCCTGGGCCTGCTGGGTTGTGCACAGGGCGCCACCGTGGGCATCTGGGCTGACTCTGGATCACCTGGGGAGGGGGAGATGGGCCTTGCTGGACCTGAGATCAGGGGCAGAAGATACAGGTGATGTTGCTTGCCTGAAGCCTAGTTCTCGTCTGATGGTGTTAATAGAGGGTTTTGAACGTCAAATATGAACCCTGGAGGTTACCTCTCTTCCCTCATTAAATCCTGGCAGCACCCGGAGGTGCGTATAATTAATTCCATTTTTCAGTTGAGGAGATGCAGCTCCAGAGAAGGTGATTTAGCCTGAGTAACACAGTAAGTGGCCAGGCAGGCATTGGGGCCCACGGATTTGACTCCACAATTTGCCGCTTCTCCCCAGGAACCAGCCTCATAACGGAGTCTACACAGTCCAGAGCATGGGATGCTCCTGGAGGTCTGAAGTCATGTGAGCAAGAGCCATTGGAGAGCTGGAGAGTTCCAGTGACTAGGGAGGATCCCTGCGAGAGAGAGAGGGCTGGCTGAGTCCTAGGGATTCTTGGAAATGACCTGCAGGGAGAGCCAGCACACTTGCACTATAGTACCCACCCTCGTGTCTGTGAGCAGGGCATTTAGCCCTTTGGTCTGAGTCCTCATCAGTAAAGTGAGGAGGTGGGGCCAGGCTGAGTCCAGGGGGGCCCTCCAGGACTGTGATGATTTTAGTGGTTTGCAGAATCGTAACCTTCCATCTGTGGACTTAAGGCAGAGGAGGAAAAGATGTAATCAAACTACCTTTTGTTTTTTCAGCCTAAGCTCCAAAGTGTGCTCTGATGCCCTTTAATTATCGCAGTACTATCACGGAGAACAGGACTGGACTGTCCTCGTGTTGTCAAAGCAGACCTGGGGCCTGGGGGGAGAGGGTTGTTAGTGGCGCCAGGACCTGGGTTCAGGCCTTGTTTTTTTCTGGCCGCTGCCCCTCCCCCAGATGGCCTGCTTCTCCCAAGCTGAGCTCCGATCCTCTGGACTTCTTGCCTGAGCCTCAGAAGCCAGACCTCCAGGCACAGCCTGAAAGCTGACGTCTGAGGGCAACAGTCTGAGGCCCAGCCACCTGGGTCTTCTTCACCTGTCATAGGAAAGAACCTGCCTAGGTTTTGGAGCTACGAGCCCTGCTCTGCCCAGTATCACCCGTGGTTTATAGGGCAAGTCACTGCAGTTGTCTGAGCCTCATCTGTACAGTGGGATTAGTAGCATTCCTTCCCCGCCTGCAACGGTGGGGGAGAGTGTTGCTGTGCGCGAAGTGCTTGGTAGGCAGACAGGCCCCTAGGGTGGACATACTGGCTGGTCGACAGGGGCTCCAGCCAGAGCTGGGTGTAGAGAGCTGCTTTTGAATTCTGGCTCAGCTTCCTAGCTGGGAAATCCTAAAAGGGGATAATGATAGTACTTACCTCAAAAGGTTATCGGGAGGATTAAATGAGGCCACCTATAAACAGTGTTTTATATTTCTGCTACCCAACCCAGCGAAGGGGAGAGCGAGCTGGGCAGGGGGTGTCAGGCTGCCCAGATCTTTGTCTCGGGAGAGTGTCTGGGCCTGCCCCTGAAGACAGGCAGCCTGGCTCCTGCCGAAAGGCCCTTCCAGAAGTTTGTATCCATGGAGGCGGAAGGCAAGTAGGGGCAGGAGGGCCCTTCTTAGCCTGTCACAGAGCCACAGCCCTCTCAGCCTCCAGGGCCCAGCGCTAGAGTCTGCACTCGGTTTATTTGTGTGCCATACACGTTTCACTTCTTAATTCTTGTAACAGGCCTTCCTCCACCATCTTCCCCCTTTCTCCATTGTCCTGGCTGAGTCCTTTAACCAGTCTCCTTTTCTAGCCCTGCTGCTGCTCACGCTGGTGGCAGAGCCAGCCCCAGCTGGACAGTCCCCTTGGGCGGCTGACTTGTCTCCATCACTGGTGTGGGGCGGACCCAGGATTCTGGTACCTCTCACGTGGAGGATGCAAGTCCCCAGTCTGTGAAGGGATCCTCAGAACTTCAAAAAGTTTTCTACCCTTGATTAGGGAATTGTTGTGGCTGTTAAAATCTTTGGACCACTCCCCTTTTGTCTGGAGTTGTGTGGGCCCTCTTCCACCCTCAGGGGACTGTCATTGTGTTTGATTAATGGTGGATAGAAATCTTTTAAAATATAGAGTTTGGGAGTTCACTACTAAGTGTGGCTCTCAGAGGCAAGACAATTGGTAACCCTCCCACCCAGTGTTTGGAGGTTTCTTCTAGCTCTGAGACCTGCTGCGTGGGCCTGGCCTTCAGCCTTTGGCCCACTTTGTGTTGGCCACTCTTAGAGACCAGGTCAAAGGGCATTGGCACAGAGTTCGAATCTGAAACACTGTCAGTGACTTGGGCTCTCGGGGTCAAGTTAGTGTGGCCTCGGACTCTGCCTCTGCTCTTACACGTGACTGTCACTGTGTTGATTCAAGGTCAGGTTCAGCCCTAAATATCTCTTGTGGAGTGGGAGAGGCAGGAAAGAGGAAGGGAGGGCCAGCCTGTGTTGAGCCAGCTAGTTAGGGGAAGTAAAATCTTTCTTTCTAGAAACTCCCAGTGTGCTCAGTTTGGCCACAAGTCTGTAATTGTAACACCAGGATCTTGTAACATCAGTTAGTAGTGGCATAACCCAGGTCAAATCACTTAATTACTCTGGGCTTCAAGGTCCTTGTCTATAGAGGGTGGGTAACTCCGACCTCATGGCTTTGTTCTTAGCTTTAGATAAGTTAATATAAGCAAAGCACCAGAGCAACGCCTGGCTTGTATCTAGCATATAATAAACACTAGTTGCCATTATTAGGGTGGTGGTGGTTATTTTCCTTCTTATTTCTGTGCCCCAACATTTTACCTGAGCAGGGAGGTAAGAGACTCAGATAATTGATGATGAAAATTTATAGAACTACTGAGAGGCCTTGGATGATACTGTCTTCTTTCATGCGTAATTTACCTTTGTTTCTGGAGGTGGCTAGGGGTCTAGCAATTCTGGATCACTTTAATTCAGTTTCAGGGAATGAGCTGACGGTGGACTGGTGGGCTGGTCTATTGCTGGTTCATTCTTTTTTTAATTTTTATTTTTTTAAAGATGTATTTTTAGAGAAAGAGGAAGGGAGGGGGAAAGAGAGGAAAAGAAATACATTAATTATCCGCATCTCACGCACCCCCAACTGGGGATATAGCCCTCAACCCAGGCATGTGCCCGGACCGGGAATCGAACCAGGGACCTTTTGGTTTGTGGGATGATGCTCAGTCCACTAAGCCACACCAGCCAGGGCCTGGTGGTTTATTCTTAATTCCTTGGGTATGGCCCTTGGAGGTCCCTGCCTGTGGGGTTTACCAAGTGAGCCTTGGACTCTGATTTTTGCCCCGCTGCCTCCCTGCGCTGACAGAGGCTCTCCCAGCTGTCATTGGAACTGGCAGATGGCACTGGGAAAACAACTCCAGAACCCAGGCCTGTCTCTTTGGGTTTCCTTCTCCTGGATTTTGGCTCTGTGATCCTTCCCTGCTTTGTTAGCTCTCTGTTGTCTTCCAGCAGAATCCCCTTTCTCCCCCTTCTCTCCCCCTCAATATTTTTTCTGCTTTCCTGGTTGTTTGCAGTGAGAGGTTGGTTTGAGTGACCTCACCTGCCATTACTGGAACAGCTGTCCCAGCTTGTTCTGTCTCTCTGTGAGCCTGGCCACCTTGCAGTCCCCCTTGCCTCGGTTTTATCCCCTGTAAAATGGGTGCTATGAAAAAAGCTCATAAAAAGCTGACTGAGACCCAGGCTCTGTGCTGAGGACTTCTTTTGTTTCGGTTAATCCTACCAGCTCTGTGAGGTGGGAACAGTTGTCCCTCTTTGGTGGCCAACGAGACGGAGGTGAGCGACCACTGGACAGCTGGGAATTGGGACTGGAACCCTGGTCTGTCTGGCTCCAAATCCTGTACTTGTAACTTCTATGTGGTACTGTCTTCTTAAAAGCATGAAGGGAGGCGGGGAACACGAGAGTGCTTTAAAAAGCTATAAGCAGGCAAGAGTTGAGGTGGCGGAAACACCTGTGGAATAGATTTGGGGGTGTTCCCAGGTGTTGGATGCTGGTTGGGGCTGGGCGGAGGTCTCTCTCACCCTGGTTTCTTTTCTCTGCAGGCCAAGCTGAAACATAAACTGACAGTCATATACGGTCAGATCAATGGTGCGTCGAGAGCGCTGGAGGATGTGAGAGGCCGGCAGCAGGATGTGCGGGTGGGTGACGCGGCACTTACGGCTCATCTGAATTGGGACCAGCCGCACCTCAGGTGCTCGGTAGCTACATATAGCAAGTGGCTATGTATGTGCCTTCCCATATTGGACAGTGCATTTCCCGAGAATGATACTGTCTAGAAATGTCCTAGAGCAGCTTCATACCCTTTCTTTAAGAAAAATTACCCAAGAACTGCTTCCTAGCTTAAGAAAGAAAATATCACCAATGCAGATAAAGCCCTTCCTCTACTCCCCTCCCTTCTTATATCTCCTTTTTTTTTTTTCTTCCAAAAGGAGCTACTTTCCTGAATTTATTTATTTCCATGGATTTCTTTATACTTCTATTACATATGCGTGCACCCCTTAAATACTACCATTCCTTTTTTTCTAAGCTTTATATAAAGAATGTCAATACTGTGTGTCTTCTTCTACAGGCTGTTTTTTCCCTCATGGAATTTATCCATGCATCGCCCCAGTTGATTAATTTTCATCCCTGTTTAATATGCCATCCTATGAATATGCAGTCTGTGTGTTTGCTCTCCTGTTTCCAGGGTTTTGCTAATTCAGACAATGCTGCTTGTGAGCGCTCTTGCGTGCATCTCTGGGGCAGGTGTCTGAGAATTTTCTGAAATGTATTCCTCGAGTTGAGTTGTTGGGTCACCTTCCGGTTCGCTAGGTAGTGCCGAGTTGGTCTCCAAAGTGGCCGTGCCCTGTGCGCTCCACATCTTGCCAGTGCTTGGTCCCCCAGGCTTCGCTTCTGGCCCGTCTGATGGAATCCCTTTTATCTTGGCTCCTTAGGAGGCTGCACAAAGGAAGATGGAACAGCTGAGACAAGAATACTTGGAAATGAAGGCTCTCATTGATGCCTCAGAGGCCAGCGCCACACGAAAGATAAAGGAAGAGGAGAAGAGGGTCAGCAGCAAGTTCGACACTATTTACCAGATCCTCCTTAAGAAGAAGATTGAGATCCAGTCCGTGAAAGAGGAGATTGAACTTGCCCTGACGAAGGGGGACGAGTTTGAGTTTCTGGAGGTGGGGTTTTTGTGTTTTTTTTTTAAAGATTTTATTTATTTTTTGGGGGGGGGGGAAGGGAGGGAGAAGGAGAGGGAGAGAAACATCTATGTGCAAGAGATACATAGATTGGTTGCCTCTCACACACTCCCATCTGGGGACCTGGCTTGCAACCCCGGCATGTGCCCTGACCAGGAATCAAATTGGTGACCTCTCGGTTCACAGGCTGGCACTCAATCCACTGAGCCACACCAGCCAGGGCAAGTGTATTTGTTTCCATGTCTGTTTGGGCTGTCAGTTCCCTTTGGGTGTGGCTCATCCCTTATTACCAACCACCTTGGCATGTCCAGTGTCTAGCAGAGTGCCTGGCATGCAGTGGGTATTCCAGTGAGCCCGCTGATTGGGTGACGTACTGTGTCCCTCGAAGGCCCATATTCCTTGTTCAGGTCCTGGCGAGGGGTACAGGAGTGACTGGTCCATCTTAGGCTGGATGACATTAAGTTCCTTCTCACATGCTCATTGCTGTTTGTTGGAGTAGCTGCCTTGTGCTCTCTGAGAAAGATTCTGAGTCTATGTCTGTGTGACCTGATTTGTGCCTCAAAGTTCAGGACTTTCCTTAAGACCCTTCGTTTTCATTGGATGTGGCCCTAGCTGAGTCTGCTGCACCTTTAAGACTTCCCTGTCCATATCCGGACCATGTGTTCAGAGTTGGTTCTCCAGGGATGGAGCTGGTTCTGAGTCTCCTGTACTTCTTCAGCCACAGCTGGGGGAGCGGAAAGGTCATTCCCCATGGCGGTCCTAACTTTGTTCCTGCCACTAATTGGTAGAGTTCCTGGTAGATCACTTGTCATTTCTAGACTTTAGTTTCCCCATCTGTCAGGGGAGCAATCTCTGAGGGTCCTTCCAGTTCCAGATTGCTGTTTTAAAGTGGCACTATAACCCCCCGTGGCCTCTGGCCTGTACTCTGAGAAGGCTGATTGGTCTTCCCACCTCCAGGAAGCTCCTCCTGGGATTTGTGAGGCTGGCTTCCTGGAGCAGCCTGCACTAACCCCCTGGCTTGTTCTAGAAAGCGGCAAGACTGCAAGCAATCTCAACAAAGTCAGTCTACGTCCCGAAGGTGGAGATGAACCACGAGCTAATCAAAAGCATCTGCAACACCACCACAGAAATCAAAAACGAGCTGAAGCGGTGCATCAGGCAGCCCCAGGACAAGGAGCCCACTGACTCAGGTAACCATTAGCAGCCCACCCCCCACGGTCCCCCACTGGCACCCCTGAATCTGGATGGGTCCCCTTAGCATTTTGGAGTGCAAGGGAGAGCCTGCATCCCGAGCACTGGAGGTTAGTTTCAGGGGTCCTGACATATTGGCCCTCCATTAAGAGGTACTGGGGAGTCTCTGCTTTGTATCTTGAGATGGTAGCCATTTTTCCTAAAACATTTTTGGGGGCTTCATGTGATCTCGAGGCTGACTTAGATGGGTTTTGAAAGGACTCTGGGTTGTCAGTGTAATTGGTGGAGGAATGGCTAGTTTTGGGGTTAGAGAAGCCTGGAATTCATCCTTGACACCCTCTTTTTTATCTCCCTGGATCCAAATGTTTCCTAACCTGCCTCACTACCAGCCACCACCTGCCTGACTTCCGTTGCCACCAGCTGGTGGTGACTTCTTAAGTAGACAGTTTGCATCCATTCCTGTTGTAGTCAACAAGAGCTTTCAGGATGCAAATACGATGTCCTGGAACCTTTTCCCTATCCTTCAGGGGATCACCGTTGCTTTTAGATCGCAGACTAGACTCTTGGCCCTGGCCTACAAGCCCCCGCCTGTTCAGGCCCTGTCTCCCCAGCCCTGAAGTGCCCCCTCCTTTGGCGCATCTCTCTGTGTTCAGTTCTTCAAATAGGCTAAGCTTCCTGCCACTGGGCCTTTGCACATGCCCTGTCCACGGCCAGGAAGGCTCAGAATCCACCATCTTCACCAGTTAACTCCTCGCACCCTTTGAAGATTAGTCAAAACGTTACGTTTCTCAGGAGACCTCCCTGTCACCGTTCCCGCTCCTCAGACTAGGCCCTGGGATCCTCAATGTCCTTTGGGATCCTTTGCACACCTGTTGTTTTACTTATTCGTGCCATTCCCGAAGGTCTTCTTACCAGATTATGATCTCTGTGAGGGCAGGGCTGGGTCTGGTTTTCATCCGCCACTCTCTCCCCAGCGCCTGGCCCAGAGCCTGGCTCAGAGCGAATCTGTGCCGTGTAACCCAGGGGGTGGGCTTGAATTTCAGCTTGGCAAGCCGGGAAGCTCTGCAGAAGGGCCTCCAACTCAGGTGTGGCTCAGCCCCATGTGGGAGGGTAAAGCTGTTGAATTAGCTACGCTGCTACCTCAGCGATCCCCGATCTGGGGAGTGAGGGGTGAAAGAAAACCCAGAGGGACGGAACTCCCAGGCCTCTGTCTCATCCCTGTGAGCAAGGGCCTCATCCCTACTGGGCGCTGGAAGAAACTGGAGCTCAGAGAGGGTTAAGAGGCCATGGATCTGGGTGCTGGTAGAAAAAAGACTTGACCTCAGCTACATCTGAGCCAAGAAAAGAGGGAACACCCCATGTTGGACCTCCTGTGATCTGGTTTCTAGCTCTTATAGATGATGGGATGGTGAGACTGGATGGGACGTGCATGTGGCTGTCTTTGTAAACCTACCACCCACCTGCGTATGGCAGAGCTGGCTCCTGGTATGATTCGGAGCAGCCACATAAACAAACCCCTTGTTCTCTGGCACAGGGGACGCTGCAGAGAATGTCATGGCACCCACAGCAAAGCCCTCACGCCCTGGGAAGAAGGTCCTGAGTAAGTAACCCCACGTCTCTTTGGCAGCAGCATGGCTGGACTGCCCAGAGCTCTGGCCACGACACTTGCAGCTGTTGCTGCTCCCTCCAGATGGGCACAGCCCCTCCCACGCCACTGCAGGGCCCGAGTGAGAGCTGAGGGGGCTGTGGCAGGAGCTACTCTGGGGCGCCTGTGAGATCTGGCCCTGAGTATTAGATAGTGGAGCTGCCTGGAACAGCAGGGTTAGATCGTGGGGCTGCCTGGCACAGGATCATTAGATATTCGAGCTTCCTGAACAGCAGGGTTAGATAGTCGAGCTGTCTGGAACAGGATCATTAGATATTCGAGCTTCCTGGAACAGCAGGGTTACCAAAGCTGGTTTGTCTTGGGAAACATGTACTGATACTCAAGTTCTGGCGCTTGGGAGGAGCCCCCTTGCATTTGGGCGGAGCGCCCTGGAGGAGACTGGCAGAGGCCCCAGAGGAGCAGAGGCTAAACCTCGCTCAGCTGTCCTGTGTCTCTGCTCTCACAGGGCTGCCCAGCCTTTTCCACGTGATTGCCCTCCTCTCCCATTACCCTGGCCGTTTAAAAAACATTTCTCCTAATCGTCTTCACAGGTGAAATTTTAATACCACACATAAACGGTACATATGTTTATATACTGTACTTTTATACATAGAAAGAGTATGATTTTTTTCAATCCCTCCCCTCCCCAAATCAAGAGCAGTATCACTTTCGCTGAGAAGGCGCGTGCTATGGAGACAGATGCTGAGGAAAGAATGATGTTTAGTTCCCTCATCTGTCAAATTGTTACTGTAATGACACCGATGTCACAGGGTTATTGGGCTGAGTGAGGGTCACATGGCACATGAATAGCTCTCTCAAGGCCTTAAATATGCCACGGAACTGTTGGCTCTTCTCTTCCCCTGGAAAGCCAGTATGAACTGTGGAGTGATGCCCACACCACTGGGCGGTTGGGGGACGAGAGAACTTCTGGTTTGTCGGCTGTTAGTTCATTTTTAGCATTTAGGTTGCCTTTGGCAGGCAACTGTTCGGTGTCCATCCCTGCAGGGAGTGCAGTGGGGGGTTGCGATGCCTGGTGCAGGGTGGGGAGGGAGCCCTCAGCTAAGCTGGAACACGTGGAAGGGCCCTTGGTGTGAAAAGGGAAGTGAAAGGAGGTGAAAAAGTACTGTTAGCCTGTATCCTCCTCTAGTCGTTCTCCTCACGTTTCCTCGTCGGTGCCCCAGATCACAAAGTCCGCTCTCGGCACGGGCAAACTGTGGGTGCCCGCTGTCGGGCTGAGGGGGGGGAGTAGGCAAGGAGGGGTCGGCTAGTCACCGTGTAGATGGGGCTCCTAAGAATTGTGGTAACCAGGGAGGGGTCCTGGGACCTAGGCTGGCATCGCAGCCTTGGGTCCTCCCAAGATGCTGGGCCAATGGGCCAAGGGGAGTGGGCCGCAGAGGAGCAGAAGGTGAGGAAATGGGGTGGGGAGTGAAGACAACTCCTGAGGGGTGTGAATCTGAAGGGGGGGATGAGGGAGCCTGTGGGGCCGAAGGAAACCTGGGGAGGGGCCCGAGAATTTGCATTTCTTAGGGGCGATGCTGATGTTGCTGTTTGTTTGTGGTTGTTGTTTTTTTTAACAGAACATGATTATATTTTAATACACAACTTCTTTACAACCAAAAAAATAAAACAGCACAGTAAAAACATATTTCATTGGGAATGCATAGGAAATGGTTAACGTTTTAGTCATAAATGAGCTCTCTTAAGGAACCAGTTACAAAGACACTAATAATCCAAATGATGCTGCTGGTTTAGGGACAACACTTTGAGAACCACTGTTTTGGCTAAATCAGTTTCCATAGGCACATGCTCCAGACAGCTCTTAAAGGCTATCGTAATACTTGGTCAGCACATTGTTTCTATTTTTTTTTTTCATTTTCCCTCTTATGGAGATATAATTTCCTCCAGTAAAATGCACAGATCTTAAATGTACAGTTAGATAAATTTTTAAGAAAGGTTTTTCTACAGTCATTTTTACAGAGGGGGAAGGGAGGGAGAAAGAATGGGAGAGAAACCTCAGTGTGAGAGAGAAACATCGATTGGTTGCCTGTGGTACATGCCCTGACCAGGAACCAAACCTGCAACCCAGGCACGTTCTTTGACTAGGAATTGAACCTGTGACCTTTTGCTTTGCAGAATGATGGACAACCAACTAAGACATACTGGTCAGGGCCAGTTAGATACATTTTTTAATAAAGATTTTATTATTATTAGAGAGAGGGGAAGGGAGGGGAAAAAGAGAGGGAGAGAAACAGTTCTTTGTGAGAGATGTATCGATCAGTTGCCTCTCCCACTTCCCCAGCTGGGGACCAGGCCTGCAATCCAGGCATGTGCCCTGACTGGGAATCAAATCAGTGATCTTTCAGTTCACAGGCTGGCGCTCAATCCACTGAGCCACACCAGCCAGGGCCAGTGAGATAAATTTTGACAAATGCGCCCATATGTGTTACCATTACCCACATAAAGATAAAGCATTGCTCCAGAGAATTCCATCATGTTCCTTATTAGTCAGTCCCTCCCCCGTCCCACCAAGCACTGCTGGGGGTTTCGTCCCTGTAGTTATTTGCCTGTTGACCCCTTATCTTTTCCAAGTTAAGGCATCTTGGCTTTATTGGTATGGGTCACATTCATGCAAATGATTGTTATTATGGTCTTTTGAAAGTGTCATTGTGTTGTGATTTGCAATATCTTAATTCAGGAATTTTTTTTTTTTTCAGAAGACGAAAAGAAACCCAAGAAAACTCGTAAGTTGTGCATTTCTGTCCTGTTTGTTTCTTGGGACTGCCTGAGCGCAGTGCTACTAAATGCTGGCAGTGAAAGCTGACCTGGCTCATCAGGGTTCTGTGCTGCGGCCTCAGCTCTAGGATTGTGTTCTGTCATAGCAGGCAGGCCTGAGGTTGGAGGGGAGGGCGAGTATAAATGAATATAATGAGTGAGATGAGCGTAGCCCTGTCTGGACTCACCTGCGTTGCCCTGGCTGGCTGTCCAGGTGTGTGTCTATAGAAGTGACTTCTGAAAATCAGCTTGGAAGGGAGTGAGTAGAGGCCCTTAGGTAGGTCACCCCATGTCATATTCCTAACACATGTCCTCCTTCCTCATTCCAGCCACCACTGGCATCCCATCCAGCAAGCTTCCCACCTTTGGAGCCCCGGAACAGTTAGTGGATTTAAAACAACCTGGCTTGGAGGGTGAGTAATTGTGGGCCAGGGGTGGCAGGGTGTCCACCCCGAGTGTGTTCTGAAAATGGCTCTCTGTTTCCTCCCCCAGCTGCAGCCAAACCCACCGCTGTGCAGCCAAACTCGGTGTCTCTCAAGGCCAAGGTGCTGGAGAACTTCTTAGCCAAGTCCAGACCCGAGCTTCTGGAATGTGAGTAGCACCTGCAGCCAGTAGCTATTGCCGAAACACCACTGGTCTCGCTGCCAGCTCTCTCACTCTGGTTTTCCTGTTGACTCCCTGCCATTCCAGAACCTTCCCACATGCCATAGCTTTCCTCTTCTTCCTGTCCCACCCAACATCTTCTGCACCACTGAGAAGAGATGCTTCAGAAGGGGACTCTGACCCTCTCATTGTCATCTCACTTGAATCTATACCCGCTCTCTCCTTCCTTTCCTGTTTGTTTCTCCAAGGTCATTTCCTTGGCTAGAGCTCTGGATCTTACCCCTCTTGCTCCCTCTGAAATTTTGTGTTCTCAGTTAGGCCTTAGTTATGGGTGGGTGGGTGGATGAGTGGGTGGATGGGTGGCTACATGGATGGATGCATGAATGGATGGATAGGTGCATGGAGGAAGGATGGACTGACGGATGGATCGATAGATGTACGGGCGGATGCATGTGTGGATACATAGATAAGTAGATGGATAGATGGGTAGATGCACGGATTGGGGGGATGGATAAAACAAATGAAAAAATACACCAGTTGAGGAAAGGTTTAAAAGTAAGAGCACCTTGGGCACCTTGAATTGACATCTCAGTGTAATGCTTTTTTAGATGCTGTTAAAGTCATCCTGGACTACAACACTGCCTACAGCAAGGTGGCTCTGTCGGAGAATTACACTGTAGCTTCAGTGGCTGACACCCACCAGAACTACCGGCCACATCCCCAGAGGTTCACATACTGTTCTCAGGTGCTGGGCCTGCACTGCTACAAGAAAGGGATCCACTACTGGGAGGTGGAGCTGCAGAAGAACAACTTCTGTGGGATGGGCATCTGCTATGGCAGCATGGCGCGTCAGGGTCCCGAGAGCCGGCTCGGCCGCAACAGTGCCTCCTGGTGCGTGGAGTGGTTCAACACCAAGATCTCTGCCTGGCACAACAATGTGGAGAAAACCCTGCCCACCACCAAGGCCACACGTGTTGGTGTGCTGCTCAACTGCGACCACGGCTTCGTCATTTTCTTTGCTGTCGCTGCTGACAAGGTCCATGTGATGTATAAGTACAGGGAGGACTTTACTGAAGCTCTGTACCCAGCCTTCTGGGTGTTCTCCGCAGGTGCCACGCTCTCCGTCTGCTCTGGCAAGTAGGCAGGGCACGGACACTCTGGCCGACTGCCTGTGGAGTCCCCAGGACTGTAGTGAAAATGCTGCAGGGGACTGTCTTGGAGTTCCTCTCTGACAGTCCCCAGGGGTTGGCAGGGTGGGAGGGAAGTTGGTGGAGGGTGAGAAGGTGGGCAGATGGGACAAGGGAGGCATTTTCTAGGGAAAGGGGTGGGGGTGATTGTATTGTGGGCAAGGAAGCGTTCCTACCTCCTGTTGTCCGTCAAAGCAGGAGAGTCCTCTCTCCTTGTTCTGGTAGGTCCCTAGGTTGCTGGGTGGCTGGGTAAGGCTTTGCGTGTAAAGCCATTAGTGTCCCTTTCCTCTTGGAGACAGTCTCTGGTCACTGCAGGTCCTTTCTTGGGCCATTTGCTGTATGCCCCTATGCTTTCTTCTGATCTTGGTGTTTTCATTACTCTCTGCAGGGCTAGTCACCTCTATAGGTCAGCAGTTTTCAACCTTTTTCATTTCATGGCACATATAAGCTAATTACTAAAATCCTGCAGCACACTGGTTGAAAACCACTGCTATGGATTTGTTGTTCCATTTATTCATGCATTCATTTGTTGATTCCTATATGTGCCCTGGCTGGGGATCAAACCCTCAACCTTGATGTGTCTGGATGACACTAACCAACTGAGCTACCAAGCCAGAGCTGCTGCTATAGATTTTTTTTTAAAAATTGGAGGCTGTTGAATTTCAATATTATTCACGCTCTCTCTGTGCCAGTACCCACATGTGAGGATTTGGGGTGAATGCTCAGATTCCTGGTTATTTTCTGTGTTTGAGGGAAACCACGCAAGGCAGGTTCCCATCTAGACTAGAGTTTCCCAAAGAGGTCAGTCCTCTTCCTTCCCTGGAAAATAGCCTCCCCTCCCTTCTGTCCTCATCACCCCAGTGGGAATTTTAAAATATTCAATCCAACAGGACCCTTATTCTGTCTCAGGCTTTAAATCATGGTCTGAGTCAGCCTGTGCTGAATTTCTGATTCAAGGCTAAAGTGACAGAGGTCCCAGGTGAACGGAAACCTCTCTCACTCCCAAGTATCGTGAAAGGCATCTCAGGAGACGGGCTTTTGCCGCAGCCACGGAACCTTGCTGGAGGCTTCTTCCCATAGCCTAGGCTTTGAGGCAAGGAACTCTGCTGGGCAAGGGATCCTGACCTGGAGTGCCAGAAGTGTGGTGGTTTTTTCCTGTTAGAGTGTTTTGCCTTATTGGTAACTCCCTAGAGTGATAGCTGCCTCTCCCCAGGACTGTGGGAGACCGGACTGGCTGGAGTGGATGCCGCTGTGACCAGCACAGCTGAGCAGACAGCTCAGTCCCGTATCTGAACCCTGGCATCATGAGACAGGTTGTATGCGGCTGCCTCAGGGACCATACGAGGTCACCTGCTGGAGTGACTGCATACAGCCAAAAGGACCTCCTGGAAGATCCCATGGGGACAGCAACATTCCTGTTCGGTGTGACCACAGGCTGCAGACCCACTGCTGGCTCCCGTATGAGACTGAGGCCTGGCGCTGGCCCTAGCACTTTTGTCTGCCTTCTTCGTCTGAGCCAATTCTGGACGTGGGGATTGACCAGACGAGGGGTCAGGAAGACTTCAAGGACTGGCGAGGGAGCAAGCTCTAAGACTCTAGCACAAGGGACTATTTTTCCTGCAGTGTTTCTGTGCAGTGAAAATAACCGTGGTCCACTAAGGGGTGGGAGTGAAACTCCAGCTGGAGTTTCCCGAGCTTGCTGGATCCTGGGGTCAGGATGTAAGTGGAAGAAATTCCACCTCTTGTAGTGAAATGAGTCCTGCCTTGGGTTTGCCCAAAAGAAGAGCTCAGGCCAGGCTCCTTGTGGTATGAAAAAGCAGCCACCGTTCGGGAAGTGGGGACTCCAGACCTTATTTAAAGCATCCCTGGCTTTGTGCTGGAATTCCAGGACAGTGTGGCCCAGAGCGCTTTGTATTCCTGACAGATGTGTTGATCTGTGTCATCTCCTGATGGGGATTTTCCTTGGGAGAGAGATCATGTGTGTCAGGAGGACATCTCTGCAGTAGCTGAAGTGTGGTTTTTAAACATCTTCCCTCAGTAGTGGGAAGAGAAGTTCTCTGGTGACTCTTCTCTGCTTTTGGAGATGGCCAAAAGCATCTTCATTGACCTTCTGAAACAAGAGCCTTGTCTGAAGCCAAGTCCTACTTGGGAAACAGCTGGGCTTAGAGGAGAATGACAAAGATGAAACCAGGGGTCCTACTGTGGCTCTCTCTTCTGCAGAAATGAAGCAACAAGAGAGGGCCCTTCCCTGGCGATCTACAGCTCAGGATAGGGAAGCATGAGTCCCTCTGTTTATGAGAGAGGCAAGGAGATAACCCAAGCCCTGTACAAGGTGCTTTGGAGATGTAAACTGAGGCGCACAGTCTTGCTGTCTCGAACCTTACATTCTCTTGCCTCGGGTTGCTGCCTAACCCTGGAGTCCTAGGGTTGGGGGAACCTTTGCATTGGACTGACTTCTTGCTTTGTAGAATAAGTCAAATGGGGAGGTATGGATGACTTGCTCCCCACTCTTGCCAACCCATCATGGAGGAGATGCCTCCCGCATGCCCCCTGGTACCCTGGGGAAATGTCAGAAATTCCTAGAAACACAAACGCAAAAATGCCAACCCCAGACCTGTGTATCAAGGACTGTCTCAGTTACTCTCGTGTGGTAAAGCAAAGGTCAGGGTTGAGTTTTTTTTGTTATTCAAGACTGGTTGGCTCGTTTTTCCTGTTTGACTCTGAAATGGATCTGGGATCTATAACTGATATGTTATCTCTTCCCTTATTCTGTCTCCCACTGATTTTAATTAAATTGGAAGTATTTGAGCTGTTATTTCTTAAGCTGACTTATTTTAGAGTTATTCTTTAGGAGATAATCAGGGCTGTACACATGGACCTTTTGAAGCCTGTGAGAAATACAAGAACCAAAGCTGCCTGACTTGCCTTAGATGCTTGGAATGTAGTAAAACAGCCTTTGGTGTTCTTTCTTGCATCTCAGGTTATGTAGCCAGTGTTACTTAACCTGTCATGCTGGGGTGAGTGAAGGAGGTGCCCAGGGGCCCCTGGGCACCCAGGCCCCACCCAGCTGCACCCGGGGGTTGAGATTTCGGCAGACCTATAGCACATTTGAGACTGGCCATGGGTGAGGATTCTTTATCAAGAACTGATCGCTGTCCCTCCGAGCTTTGCTTTCGGATACTCCAAAGATGGGTGTAGGGAGGGGGGGTGGGGTATGAATGAAAAGGTGAGCCACAAGCAGGCAGTAGTCCGTGAAACAGTGATGGGTTATGAGAATTTAGTGAAATATTCTTTCTACTGTTTTTTGAAAAGTGCCATAGTAAAAAGTTTTAAAATGAAACAAAACACAGCCCAGGCCAGAGATGAGCCTTATTCGGTGGATTTCATCATTGTTTACATTGGGTAGGGGCTGCCGGAGGTGTGGGTTTGAGATTGTTTTATCAGGTCATCCCCCCTTGTCTGTGGGGAATACGTTCCAACACGCCCAGTGGATGCTTGAAACCAAGAATAGTACCAAACTTTATGAATACTATGTTTCTTCCTATACATACATACATACTTAAGATAAAGTTGAATTTATAAAATTAGGCACAGTAGGAAGTGAGCAATAATAACTAATAATAGAACAGTTATAACAATATACTGTAATGAGAGTTATGTGAACATGCTCTCTGAAAATACCTGATAACTGCACTGGCTGGTGTGGCTCAGTGGATTGAGCACTGGCCTGTGAACCGAAGGGCTGCCGGTTCGATTCCCAGTCAGGGCACATGCCTGCATTGCAGGTCAGGTCCCGGCTTGGGGGTGCATGAGAGGCAACTGATCAATGTATCTCTCATACATCAGTGTTTCTCTCCCTCTCTCCCTTCCTCTCCCACTCTCTAAAAATAAGTAAATAAAATCCTAAAAAGAAAAAGGAAAATAACCAATCTGATGATACTCGTGAAGGCTACTAGGTGACTAATGGGTGGGTAGCTATACAGCGTGGATACGTTGGACAAGTGGATGATGTACCTACCCAGGTGGGACGGCGTGGGAAAGTGTGAGATTTCATCATGCTGCTCAGAACTGCCCATGATTTAAAGCTTACCAATGGGCTATTTCTGGAGTCTTTTAATATTTTCAGACCACTGACCACGGGTCACCAAAACCATGGATAAGGGGGACTGCTGTAATAAAGAATTTTACTGGCCTTTGGTTTCCAGAGGGCAGATTCTAAATCCTTCGCATTGCCCCAGCAAGAGGAGCGCCTTTGTTATTCATGAGCGCCTTGGATCACACCTGGCTTCATGCTAGGAGCTGAGATGACCGAGGATGGGACCTGTCCTCAGAAAGACCAACCATGTGTTTAGAGATTGGGACTTGGAGCCAGACTGACCTCCAGGATACAAGAGGGGCTGGAGAGCGATTCAGTCCGTCATGCTTTTGTAATGAAACAAACAAACCAACCCTTCTGTTCACTAAAGCTCTGCTGAACACAGTGATGTGCCAGGAGGGTGATGTACCCTGATTCCATGGGTGGCGGGGGGGGGGACCTCTGCCTTTGGGTCTCTCTGAGGCTTCACTCTACGTGTCTCTTCATTTGGCTTCATTTGGTCTTGATTTGTATCCTTTACAAGAAAACTGTAATCGTAAGTGTAGCACTTTTCTGAGCTCTGTGAGTTCTAGTGAATCACTGAAGCTTGAAGGATGTCACGTGCTGTAGACTGGATGTTTGTGCAGCCCCCAAATTCACATGTTGAAACCTAACCCTCAATGTGATGGTATTGGAGGGGATCAGGTCACGAGGGTGGAGCCCTCGGGATTAGTGCCCTTATAAAAGACCCCACAGAGCTCCCTTGTCCCTTCTGCCATGTGAGGGCACAGCCAGAAGACCTCACCAGTTACCAAATCTGCCAGCACCTGGATCTTGGACTTCCAGCCTTCACAGCTGTGAGAAATAAATGTTTGTTGTTTGAGCCACCCCGCTTATGGTGGTTTTGTTATAACAGCCCAGACTAAGAAACCATGGGAACCTTTCAGGTTTGACACCAGTCGGTCAGAAGTGTGGGTGGCCTGGGGACCGCTGAAGTGTGGCTGGTGTCTGAAGTGAAGACAGTCTTGTTGGGAGTGTGCCCCTCAGCCTGCAGAGCTTGACTCTGACGCTAGGGGATTGGCCACAGGATTGTGTTGCCCTGTATCAGATGGTGTCAGAGTAGAGGTGGGGGGACTTGGGAATAAGCCCTTCTTGACCCATCCATCTGAATAAAACCCGCTGTTCTTCGAAGAAGCTCCCCCGATTTTTTCTCTCAGGTGTCAGATCTCCAGGGTTTAAAGTCCTGGGTTTTGTTCCTTTCAGCCGCACCCCTTGCAGTTTTTCTTCCTCACTGTCACTGTACCCACAAAAATACTCAGTTGTAGGCTTGCCTTCCCATTGAGAGATGCCATTTAAATCATCATGAGACTTTTCTGTTCCAATGAAAAGTTCAGGACAGTAACTTATGACTCCAGTAAAAGTACAAGAAAGCCGTGAGTGTGCATGTGTGTATGAGGGGCTGATTTTAAAGTCAAGCTTCTGCTAAAGTGACCCACTCTCTAATACTGGATTCTCCTGTGGGCCTTACATCTGTCTTCTTGCCAGTCTCTAGGAGGTCTTGAAATGCCATTGCATTTGGAAAAATGGATGGATTCACAGTCTATTGACCCTGGCGCGGTCGTACACCTGTATTTTATTATGGAACAATCTTAATGCATAAATGAGAAGCAGCCTCTACTAAAAGGCAGTTCTAAGAGTGAGGGGGCGGGAGGGGATCATAATATAAGAAAGGCTAGTTGAAAGGGGGTAATTTGGGTGAAAATGCCTCATGACCAATGGTTTCCCCTGCCTGTCTTTTGTGACAAGATTTTCTTTCTGAACAGTGGTTTCCTCTCAGGAGTTCAGGCACTTGAGTTTCTTCACTTTTCACCATGTGCTCCTGGGTTTTATTGATTGAAAACTTGTAGATGGGGTCACGTCTCCTCCCAGGTGGATTTTGAAGAGGTGCTGATGGAGTGCCCACCGGCTCTCCTGCGGGGCAGCCCCTGCCCCCTTCCCTCAGGTGTTCGCTGGTGAGGGGCTGGCGCTCGGGGCTGGTTCAGCTGCCGTGATCACGTCACGGGCAGGCAGTGTCTAACAGTCATGGGAGAGTCCTGGAGCCTGGACATTTGAATCTCATCCTAGATTTCGGTGGGACCCCCATGACTGACTTGGTGGGTAGACACAAATATATGATTCTAGGTCCTTCAGGTGATGGGCTCTACGGGGGTTTCCCAGAAGGGGCTTATGCCTTCTCATCTACAGCTGGAATTGAGCCTAAGATTTGAAAACCTGCTTCATTGGTAACTGTAATCAACCACACCATGTCCAAACATATGCATTAGGGACTAACGATGGCACCACCGATTCATCAGTTCAGCTTATGAAAGCATCTTTGAAGGCCCCCTTCTGTACTCGTCTCATGTGTTTTTCCAGAAGGGTCCCCTGGCCTCCAAGGATCCTGTTCCAACTCAGCTTTCTCAGAGGTGTCTCTATGACAAGAGATTTCTCACTCTTCTTGTGCCCTGGCCTTTGGCTCATCTTCATTGGGTCCCTGGCAGCCATGCCATTGTGCCCACACTCAGCCGAGTCCCCTGGTGTCACAGGCATGAAGCGGGTCTTTGTCCGATGGGCATAGTTTATTCCAGGAAAAGCTCACGGGACCTTTGCAGCTCCCTTGCGTCCGTGGTGCCGTGTCCATTTCACCAGAGCTAATCCATCTGTTAGAGGCTCTAACGTCTCATCCAGCCTTGACACCAGTTCTTCCAGGTAGGTCTTGCCCAGGCCAGTCCTTCTCCTGGGGCCAGGAGCCCAGAGGGCAGATGATCAGGATTTCGAAGGCACTTCCGTCAGACTCCTGAGTATCTGTTCACCCAGAGTCCACTCCTTGCTGCCTGGATTGGCCCACTCTGGGACTGGACCTCAATGTTGCAGAACCCGTGATGGCTGGAAGCAGGGCCAAAATGTATCTATTCTAAAGTCACCTACAATACATGTCTGACATCTTAAGAGTAGAATCATGGAAGCTTCCTCTGGGCAGATGCTTTCCTGGTCTGGGGCCAGAGAGCCTGTGTGAACTTTGATCATCAATGAACTAATCAAAGTACAAACACTTCAGGCTAGGCTGCTAAAAGGAAATCAAAATGTGTGGGTGTGGAGTTGTTCCTTGCTTTTCATTATTTACATTTTAATGTCCAAAGGATCAGTGGTGACATTCCTTCTTTCATTTCTGGTATTAGTAATTTGTGTTTTCTCTCTCTCTCTCTCTCACTCTCTTTTCTTAGCCTGGCTAGGGCCTAATTGATTTCACAAGGGGGGAACCAAAAAAACCCCAGAATTTGTTTATAAAAAATTGTGTATTGATTCTTGCATGTTTATTTTTTTTAAGCTATCAATAAACATTTTTTTCCATTTGTAATGACTTCTTTTTTTTTTCTTTCTTTATTTTTAAATACATTTGTCTCTGATTCTTGCATGTTTAAATTTTAGTCATCTTCAAAGTACTCTCCATTTGATGCAATACACCTACTGAGACATTTTTTCCACTGCTCTGAAAAGTTTTTGAACTCATCAATTTTGATGCCTTTTAATGCTTCTGTCAGTTTTTAATTAATAATTAATTAATTTTTAGAGAGAGGGGAAGAGAGGGAGGAAGAGAGGGAGAGAAACATTGATTGGTTGCCTCTTGCACACCCCGACCAGGGACTTGCTTGGCCTGCAACCTGAGTATGTGCCCTGACTGGGAATTGAACCAGTGATCTTTCGGTTTGCAGGACGATGCCCAGTCCACTGAGCCACACTAGTCAGGGCTTTTCTGCCGTTTTTTGTTTCACTTCTTCCACATCGGCAAAACATTTCCCTTTGAGGACTTTTTCATTTGGGGGAACAAAAAAAAAAGCCACTTGGGGTGAGCTCCGATGAGTAGGGTGGGCGGGGCACAGGGGTTATGCTGCTTTCGGTCAAAAACTGCTGAACACTCAGTGCCGTGTGGGCAAGTGTGCTTGTAAATCACCCACTGTGACACAGGCAAACGTGCTGAAAGAGTCTTCAAGGGAACAAAATTCAGTGAAGCTGAAGGCAGCCTGTAACAACAACGCCAGCTGG